AACCAGGTGCACATGCTACTGTTACGAGCAAAATTATGGTGCGCCTTTCTAACAAAATGCAAAATCTGTTGCTGTGGTAGACTAATGCATACAAAAACGGATCATATTTTAATTTTTCTATGTAGCGTTTCAAATAGTTAAAAAATTTGGCCTTTCTTGTTTTAAAGGTTTTGGATTGAACTCGAAGATATTATTAATCAGGTAATATTTATTTATAATTTGTTACATGCAAAAATTCTTTTTTTTACATATTTACTGTTCAAAAGTAATTTTTATCGCTGAAATAATTTGTGCGATTTATTTAAACAATGACCGATTTTGGGAATTTGGCAGATTGGCAGGTCTGAATATAATATATTCTTTGTTGGTTCCGGGGATTTTTTACGCACGTGTCCTCATTTAGGGGCCAGTGCTAGGGAATTAGATTGGCAACAAGCACTGGATATTTTAACTTGTCAGTGAAAATGTTTTAGGTATTGGGCTTTAATAAAAAGTAAATATTTTCACGTCACCTTATACTGACATACATACACACACACAACATTTTCAAATTCTAGCCTAACACTGAAGCATGACAGAAGCTTAAATTTTCGAAATGCAGTGTTTGAATAAAAATTTTAAATAGATTAATAGGTGAAATATAGCACTTTTTTTCGTACGCTTACGATTTGCCAATTTTAAAGTAATCGAAGATTACCAGAAGTGGATTGGCAGAAATTAAAATTCAGTACGTATTGGCAATATTTCTCATTCTTTCAATATGTAATTTTCTTCATGATGTGGAAACAATAGCACGTGGTCTTATGTCTTTAAACCTTTCATTCTGGAATTTTAGTTATGGATGTTTAAACAATAAATATATTTGCACCTCCAAATTCATGTAACTTTTGATACGGTAATTTGAAACGTGTACGGAACCTAATTACTTTAAATGTTAACTTTGGTTCCGTGAAGACTACCAGGGGAATTATAGCCCCTGGCAGTATATTAACACTAATACAGGAGACAGGAGACCACTGGGTGAGCAGCTATGCCGCCATGAAGACTTTCAGCTTTATTGCTCACTCAGTGGAACCACGTTTATTTAAAATTTTATATTGCAATAAAAATTTTGATTTTGATGTATATACAATTTTGACATACACTTGACATACATTGACAGAATTCATATAAATATTAACAGAAATTTTGATGGTACGTACATAGAATATAGAATGCATAATGTAGAATACAAATAAAGATTTAGATAAAAATTTTGGTTATATACGTAATAAATAAAATAGGATTTTGATGATTTGTTGAAATGCAATAATAGTTCACAGTTGATAAATAGTTCATAATTCATAAATAGTTCACTATTCATAAAAGTTCACAGTTCATAAGTCTGTTAAAGTTTATTTATCTGTTGAAGTTAATAGTTAGAGTGAAGTAAGTTCGGATAAATCTCTGATAAATTTTATAGTTAGTCTGAAGTAAGTTTCATATTTGTTGATTAAAGTTGTGCTGCCTTGAAGTGATGCTAATTATGTCGAAAAAATGTTGATGTGGAATTGTGATGCCCTAATTTATGCTGCCTTTAGATTATCACAATTTTCTATAAGATATTCCATTAAATTATGAAGTTTTTTTGCGGAGAGATTTACTTCTGAGTAGTTGTTTGAACTATCCTTGGGCATTTTCACTTGTGAAAGGGCGAAAGTGGAGGTCTTTAGTGATTGCCCATTCAAACAGATGATGATCTATTGTTCCTGTTGATCCACATATGCAGTTGTCTGTATGATACAAGCCGAAACGGAAAAGATATGAAACGAAGGGTCCATGTGATGTTAGAAGATATGTTATTACATTATTTGTTGTAACTAAATTTCGTGTTGGTTTTGGTAGAAACATAAAAGTTCGTCTGCTCGTATTATCTTGTGACCCCATGAGTTTCCATTGTAAAATCAAGTCTTGATTTTAAAAGTGATATTGGAGTTGGCAAATAGGTTGTTGCTGTTATAGTACCATTTGCTGCCTCTTTTGCCAAGCTATCTGCCATTTCGTTGCCCAATGTTCCTACGTGGGCACGTGTCTAATGTAGTTTAAGTTTTTGTCCAGTTGGAAAATATGCGAGTAAATGTTGTATATCTTGAACCAAAGGCGAGCGATTATGACCAGCTATTGCTTGAATGCTTGAGGAACTGTCAGAAATTATAACACTGGTTACTGAGAATTGCTTTGCATATGTTATTGCTTCTCTTATAGCCAATAGTTCTGTTTGAAATACTGAATTTGTATGACTCAATTTTGTTGTCCAGGTTTGTATAAAGTTATTATTTCTGAAAACTCAATAAGGACTTCTTACGCCTAACTCTGGTTTTGATCCATCTGTAAAAATTTGAATTTGAAAATGATCTATGTTTGAATTTACTATTGGATTTTCTGAATATAATTGATTTGGATGTAAGTTTATATTTTGTTTGAGTTCTTCATATTCTGTTGGATGATAGATATTAAAATTATAGGTACTTGTTTGTCGTAGGCGTGCAACTTTTGTTTTAACGGCTTCTTTCTGTAAAGTCAGAGTAATTGGTGGAATACCTGAAATGATTTGTAGAGAACTGGTAGGTGTTGTGCTATATGCTTTTGCTATTGATAGTAGAAAACGCCGTTGTATTGAAGTTAGTTGTCTTTTTGCATGTTGATTTAGATCTGTGCCCCAAGCAGAAGCGCCATGTAGATAAATCTTTTCTATTACTGTAGTATACCAAATTTTCTGATATTGAGAAGAAATTCCCCTGTTTCTTTCTGTGGTTATTTTTATTGAGTTTGATAATATTAGAAGTTTATTTTTGATATATTTGATATGTTGATGCCGTGAAAGTCTATTATCAAGCATGATACCTAGGTATAATAGCGAATTTACTGTTGCTATTTTATATTGTGCTATTCTCATAATTGGGTCTCGAAGGTTCCTTATATTGGTGCTCTGTTTTGGTATATAAAAAGCTTTACTCTTGAATTGATATTTTTAACTGAAATTTATTTGCCCATTGTTTAAAGATTTGTAGGGATTGTTTGGAGTTATCTTCTATATCCTTGCGACTATTGCCTTGGACTATTAGTAGGAAATCATCTGCATATGCTTCTGCGTGCGTGTGAAGGATATTGTCAAAATGTTTCAATATTTCATTTGCTATTAAATTCCAAATAACTGGACCCAAACAAGATCCTTGTGGGCATCCTCTTGTAATTTTATATAATTTGACTCCACTATTTGATGTACATTGTAGAGATCTGTTATAGAAGTAATCGTTTAATAATAGGAATATATTTTTTGGACAATGGATGAATTTAAGGATTTGTATTGCATCTGTCCAACGTATAGAGTCGAAAGCTGCTTGAATGTCTAATAATATTATTAAAGAATGTTTATTTTGATTTCTGTTTATTTGTAATATTTGATGTAATTCCTGGAAAGCATGGTCTACTGATTTATTAATAATGAAGCCAAACTGATATGGGTGGCAGATGTTTTGTAGTCTTGATAGTATTAATTTTTCTAGAAGCTTTCCCAAACCAGGTAACAAGCATATTGGTCGATATGATTGAGGATTATCCTGAGGCTTGTTTTTCTAACTACTTCGGCTTGTTTCAGTATAGTAGAAAAGTGGTAGTTTTCCAACAAGAACTAACAAAAGATTTTATGATATTTCTATTGGTTTTCAAAATTTGCTTAAAAATTATATTGTGTATGCCATAAGGTCCATGAGCCGTTTTTGGGATTTAAGTGTTTAATTATGTTTTCTATTTCCATCAGAGTTGGAGAATTATTGCAGGATGTTTCTTCAAAATTTTCTGTGTTATTGAAAGTTTTTGAGTTTAAACTTGGTTGTGCTATTACTTCATCTTGAGGAAATAATTGTGTTAATATTTGGGTGATAACATCACTTGCAGTTGCTGCTCCTGTGAATCCTGACATAGATAGTGGAGGTTCTTTACTGTGGGCTATTTTGAATGCTGTACCAAAGAGTTTTGAGGTATTTGTACGAAAGTTTTTCCAGCTTGTTTGATATTTCTTTTATATATTGCTCTTGATTTATTAAATCCTTGTTTGCATTTTGATTTTTCTGCAGGGAGTTTGTTTGCTTTGTATCTTCTTTTTAGGGCTTTGATCCTGCTTCTTTCTATTGATAATGCTTGATTCCACCAATTTAATTTAAAATTTTTAACACTAATACAGAAGAAAGCTTAAAATAAACTTTTATATTAGTTCTTCCGCCTAACAATTTACAGTCTCCGCCGTTTAGCAAAGTTGAGGTGGAATTTAAAGTATTAAAATATTACATTTATTTTGGCTCTAGTCCTCAGCTTACGCAAGTAAATATGGTTAGCAATGTTAAAGCCGATTCAAATACCTCAGAAGCTGGGAGAAATAGCAAAGAGACGTTTACGATGTGTATCTTGCCAAAAGCTGTATCTTATAACTCAATTCTGTACTTATATACAGGGTGATCCTTTTTAAAGTGACAGTGTTTGGAGCCCCCTGTAGCGCGATCTAATAGCTGAAATGGCACCAAACTTGGTATTTAGACTAATCAAGACATGGGACATCAAGACATACAATCATACAGTTAAATTATTAATGTTTATTTACTACATTAACTTCCCCGGTGAGGAATTAGACCACATTCAATGTGAACACCGTTCTCAGAAATAACACTGTGCATTCTGTGCACAACGTTCTTCACAGCCGTATGTAACAAATCACGAGGAATATTCCGCACTGTCTTTGTTATGTTTTCCTTTAGAATAGACAAATTTGATACTCCACCAACATAAACTTGAGATTTCAAATAACCCCAGAGCCAAAAATCGCATGGCGTGAGGTCAGGGGAACGAGGCGACCATGCAACTGGAAAACTGCGACTTATGACTTTATCATCAGTGAAGTTTTGGCTCAACAGCTGCTTTACTTTATTACTAATGTATGGCGCAGCATCATCCTGCATAAAGATTGCCTATTGGAGACGGTTTCTTTGCTGAAGTTGTGGAATAACAAACGTTTGCAGCATTTCGTGGCACCTTTCTGCATTTATGGTGCAAGTTTGGGGTCCTGTTGGAGTGATGGTCTCAAACAAGAATGGCCCAATTACGAATTCGGCTGTGAAACCACACCAAACAGTGACTTTTGCGGACTTTAACTGGATTTCGTGCTCGGTGTGGGGTTGCTCAGAAGCCCAAATTCGGTTGTTTATGGACCCATTGAGATAAAAATGGCACTCATCTCGCCACAGAATGTGCCACGGGAAAGCATCACTAATTTCTACCCTAGCAAGAAACGATAGAGCGAATGTCACTCGCTTATCATAATCACTTGGTGTAAGTTCGTGCAAGCGGCTGATTTTGTAGGGGTAAAATCCAATAACGCGCCGCAAAACTCTCCATACCGTGGAATAATTCATGTCCAATTGTCGAGCTACACCCCGGGCGCTGCTAGTACCAGCAATGGTTCCCTGCGATACTTCGACAATTGCAGTTGCCACATCAGTTATTACATCTTCTGATACTGGTTTACGTCCTCTCCCAGCGCGAATGGTCAGTGACCCCGTTTCCTCGAACTTCTTAATCATTTTCTTAAGACCATTCAGCGATAAAGGCCCCTTTCGTATTTTTTTTTCTGGTTCGAAATTTCCGAAGAGCTGCGGATGCATTACATTGATTCATGTAATACAGCTTCACCAGTAACGCACGTTCCGGTAACGTGATAGGCTTGTCTACTGGAGCTCGTTTACATCAACTGAGATTATTTGTCGGAGCTGCCTACTACTTGCTTTTATAGCTCCTATTACTGGCACTGTCATTGTACAACATTTGCATTTTTCTTTGATACCCGTGTTTTATGCTAATTCTCGTTATTGTAAGCTACAGCAGCGCAAAAAATGCCCTAGCGGCGAGTTTTGGAACTAAAATTTTTTCCCCGGAATCCTTTTTCCCATGTCTTCATTAGTCTAAATACCAAGTTTGGTGCCATTTCGGCTATTAGATCGCGCTACAGGGCGCTCCAAATACTGTCACTTTAAAAAAGATCACTCTGTGTATAAACTAATTTGCATCCTATTGGGGGCTGACGAAAATGGATGTGAAAGTAAAGTCCTAGATGTGATATACAGGTATAGATGAGATATAGATCTGAGAATATAAATGTATGTGCTTGTTATCAGTCAGTGCAGAAATGGAAAGCGCCTATATGAAAGTCCTTCAATTTAACCAAGCCGCAGAATTCAACAACCAAACCTTTTGGCCATCCAACTATGAAAAGAAAATTAACCCCAATTTTATCCATCCAGCGCTTTGCTTCAGCAAAATAATATTCCCCACGTCTGAAGAAAATTCAAGTAGTTCATCTCCAGTTGCTTATACTGATGGATCAAAAATTGAAGGAAAAGGTGGTTCCGCAGTCTTTTTTCAAATTACCCCCTCAAATATCATCAAATGAAAAGGCCATCTCCATAATAATAATAGTGTTTTCCAAGCGGAATTGTCAGCCATAAAAGCAGCGATTGAAATAGCCATTCTCAAAAATCTCAACGAATTTAGCATAAAATCTGATTCTTAAGCAGCTATTCTAGTTATTAAGATTCCCTTACCTTCCTCTCCATTGATATCTGACATAAATTCTCTTCTTGGCAAAATTCCAAACTGCTAAATTCCAATTTCATGGATCAAAGGACATAGTGGCCATTTTGGTAATGATCAGGCAGATGAACTAGCCAAAGAAGCAGCTATCAATCAAGATAGTACTGAAATCATCATTCCGTGGCCTCGCTCAAATTTCAAGTACCAACTAAAACAACTTGCTTCAAAATCTTGGCAAGATTTGTGGAACAATGCTCCACAGGGAAGACGCACATATAACTTGATCCCTAATGTAAGCTTCGTATCTCTGTACTCGAATCCTTCACTAAATTACTTTATAACAGGACATGGACCCTTCCCTACATATTTCTACGCAAGAAATATGGCAAATTCTGATATCTGTGTATGTGGGGAACAGGGAACTCCTAATCATTACACTTTCTCATGCCCCTTAACTGAGGATATTCACATAAAATCCCCAAGAACTGATCTCCTGGCATTCCAAAGGTTTTTAATTAAAGATAAACATCAGTATCCGAAGTTTCAGAAAATTATGCAACGACTCTCTTCCTACGGCCTAGATCTCTGTCAAGTCCACATACTGCTTAAACTTAGTGAACATTTACATGCTGTGATTATAGACAAAATGGCTCCCCTCGTGAACTTTCTAAACTACAATAAACCAATATATCTGAAATAACACCTACCTCTTTAGCATTATTATTACAATTCATTTTAACATTGTGTTGCCAGTACTAATTATAATTATCTCATTGTGTTTATCTGTTTATTAGTTATGTTTATCTCCTATTTTGTTGCACCAAATCAGATGTTCAATTTATCTTGTGAATCTCAAATTGTATTCCGACTATCTTGTAATCTACTTATGTCCTACATCATTATTTTTAATAAATACTGGATGAGGGGCGTACTGTGGGATTTCACGATGTACCATAATTGGCAAACTCTAGACCTTTTGAAAAGCTTCAGTCTATGTAAATTCTTATAAAACTTGCAATTCTCCCCTTTTTCTAAGAGTTAGTATGAAACGCATTACCAGTTGACCTATGGTACATCGCTGGTGTCCCCCATACTTTTACCTGTACCTGTACCTTGTAGAGATGTGATAGGTAAGATAACTGGTTAATGAACAGAAAACATTATAATCTATTCAAATCGATTGAAAACAGTTAAAATAAACTGACTCACTTTGAGAAACGTTTAAAGCTACAGTGCTAAAAGTTATATTTTCTGCCTTCCTAAACTACTGAAATGGATTTTTATCATTTTTCAAACATTAATATAATAATTTAATAAATTTTAGTTAAAAATATTATAAATACGTTTAAATAAAGTTTAGTTAATTTTTCACATTACAGTTGCAGTCTTTATTTATAATTATGTTTTATTCTGAACTCAAATTTAAAAGAAAACATTAGATTATTATAAAAATATCAAAAATTTAATATTAAAATGAAAACATTTACTGCAATACACTTTCCAAGTTTATCAAAGTTTTCAAGTATGTTTTCACACTTTGAATGTGACAGCCAGCAATTTTTCATATTTGAAACTTCACTTTCTTTCACATGTTTTCCCAGTTTAGAGAATATATGATCCTTTTTACATGAAATATAGCTTAATAAAGTCAGCGTTGAAGGTGTTTATGACAAAATATTCTCATAAAATATATCAGCTGTTTCAAACTGAGTTATTTTGTCCATAATAAAGCAATAAATTATCGACTCAGAGTAATATTCTCTTAAATTAAGGTATTATTTCTGCTCAAATTACATTTTTAGGGTTTTAGCAAAATATCTTTCAGATAAATGTAAGCTAGTGAGAAACATATTTTCAGAATGCTGGAATTTTCACCGCCTGGTTTTGTAGCTATATCCCCAGATACTATCAGCATTCCCATTTCTACTTCCAGTGTTAAAGCAACTGAAAGGAACTGCTATTCGATTCATTTTAAAATATCTGAATATCGTATAAACAAATATTTCATTTCAGATATTACCTAGTGTTATATATAAATAGAAATGCATTTATATTTCATTTTAAAACAGTTAAATAGTAACAATTTTTACAAATATCTCAGAAACTTATTCAAGTAGCTTTTTTTATCACATCTGGATATGGTTATAAATGACAAAAAAATTGTGCTTCTTCTTTTGAATATATGCAATATTGAATATCTCACCAAATGTTTTACTTGGTAAAAACAGAAGGGCAACTCTGTAAAAATATTTATCTTCTATTCACGTCAGATTCGCACACTCTAAACAATTGTATTTAATTTACTGTGTACAATAGTAACTTGCAATTCTTCCCTACAATAATAATGTAATTTTAATGGATTTTAGTACGTCTTGTATAATGTAACGGGAATGGTCTCGAAATGCGAAGCATCGCCAAAAAATAGGGTTGCAGGGGTAAGTCCATTTTGGCGAGATTGCGCCAAACTGATGATAATTTCGGTGGCTAATTTTAATCTCAAAATTTGGCAGGAAACTGCCCAAAGTCGCCAAACTTGGCGACCGTTTGGTGACCTATTGGTTCGGTCTCTGCATAACTGCAATGGGTATTGTTACTGAATAAATGTAATTGATCACATACACTGTAACGGTGCATCCTTCTTATGCCTTCCAAAACTTTCGAGAAACACTATAGATTTCTCGGAGGCCGGGGAAAGTCGTGGAGAACATCGTGAACTAGTTATTTAGTTCAGTGTGAGTTCGTAGTATTGAGATATCTCTATGTTGCCTTCGGTCTTCAGATGCGCTTTGCATTGCGTTGTGTTTAACGCTGTTAATAATTTAAAGTGTAATTACTGTTTGTATTTTGTTATACTGTGAAGAGCAGTAGGAATATTTTTGTACAGATCTCAACAGTTCCAGAACTGTGAAATGTTTCTTTTGGTAAAATAAATTTTATCAAGCGGTCATCGGTTCTATGGGCATTCGGTCTATTACGTACCCATACGCACGCAACCATATGGTTTGCTTTGCACTAATCAAAGAATAATGAATATTTTACAATATACAATATTATTTTAAGCAGTTTTACTTTACAGGAATACTTTACAGAAAATAACATTTATTTTTTCCTAAGATTTTTATAGTTTTAGCATAGTTTTCAAAAATTCTGCATTTTATTTTCATACACGTTTTCAATACATTAGGAGATAAATACTTTTATTGCTTTTTTCAGACATACTATGCAATATTTTTAGCATGTTATTTCACTAATAGGACTTATGTTTTACTTTTACACAAATGCTGCCGCGCTGTCTCTTTTGCTAAGTGTAATTGTTATGTTTTTTGTATTTATTAAAATATTTATATATACTTTCAATATGTTTAATTCTATTAAATATACCGATTGCAATCAAATGTAACGAATAGTGATGACTTCTCTGAAGTCAAGATTTAGATACTGATATTTTAACTCATTACATGTAAAAAAAAAAGAATTCATACTATGGGTGATGGGATAGCTAAATGACTGTCGGGTTTCATGAGAGTTATAAATGGATGTTTAACTGTGAAGAAAAGAAGAAAAAATGCAACCCCACGCGCAATTTTAGATTTTTATGACAGAAAATATTTTCAATGACGTGATCAGATTTTATCACTGAACGGGGCTTGATTTTTTCAAGGGCAAATGGAGTACGTGCTGAGGATCCCACTTTGAAAGAGATTTCCGAAATCCTTCTTTCGGTTTAAGTTTTCCAAATAAGAAACTAGAAGCAGAACCCATCAGAAAAAAATTTTTTTTTTCCTTTTTAAAAGAAAGTGAATTTTTTAATTCTACGTTATTCATATACTTGATTATTGAATTAATAAAGACAATATAACTGCATTCATCTGACCGTATGTCCCTAATTTAATTAAAGTTTGTAATAACAGAAACAAAAATTCTCTGAGGTCTTCCTCTTTTTTTTCTTCGGTTTAAAAAAAATCTTGTTTTAGAATGTGCTACATCTTACGTA